GAAAGCCGCGCCGCCGAGATGGTGCACGTCGTCGAGCGCGTTCCGCGCGTCCACGCCCAGGGGAAACGCGAGCGGCTGCATGCCGAGGCCGAGAAGATGCCCCTGATGCGTCGAGATCTCCGCCCCCACCAGGACCAGAACCCCGTCCCGATAGCCGGAGAGCGACCGGGCCGCGTCGGTGTTGTGGTCGGTGATCAGGAGAAAGGACAGCCCCGCATCGCGGGCCGCCTCGGCAACATGCCCGGGGGAACCCGCACCATCCGAGTGCGTGGTGTGAACATGCACCGCCCCCGGGATCCGCACCCATCCATCGCGCGGCGGCTCGCCCTCGAGGGGCGGGGGCCGCCAGACCAGGGCTGACCCGACCCACAGCGCCACGAGTATCGCGATCGCCGGCACCAGAAGCAGCCGCAGTCGACGCCGGCGAATCATCCCTTCACCCCGTCCTGCGTTTCCCTACGGAGCCCCGACCACCGATGGGCAGCTCTGCTCCTGCATCGCGGGACCGGGAAGTTCAAGGTAACATCCCGCCCCGGGAGCCCGCGACAGCAGCCCGCTGCTTTCGACCGGCGCTGGATCCCGCGCCTCGCCGGTCTCGGTGCGACACGCGGCTTCGCCACGGCCCCGGGTCTCGCGCCGCGTCGACACCCGCATGGACGATTCGCCGCATGTGCCGCATGTACAGCCGATGACGACTCCTTCGGCGCCGCCCCGACTCCCTTCCCCGCTTCAGGACCGCGGCGGGTCGAAAAAGCGGCCGCGAGCGCGCCGGCCGCGTGTGCCCGGGCTCGCCAGCGTCGTGCAGCGATCGTACCGCATCGCCCGCACGGGATTCCCGTTCGCGTGGCCCACCCCGCGGCGGGCCGCCGCCACCTGGCGCTGGGCGCGCCGGTTGGCGGCCCAGGTCCGGCGGCGGCGCCGCGAGGACGGTCTGACGGTGGCCGTGGACATCTCGCCCCTGTTCGACGCGCTGACCGGCGTAGGCTGGTACGTCCACGAGCTGTTGCGCGAGCTTGCCGACCGTCCCCGCCTGCACCTTCGGCTCTACGGTCCAACGATGTTCACGGGTCCTGCCGGTCCTCGGCCGGTAACGACCCTCCCGGAGGGACCCGCCCTGGAGTGGGTCCGGCACGAGGTCCCCGACGATCTCCTCGTTCGGCGATCCTGGCTGGCGCCCCTGATGCGTATCCTCGAGCCCTGGCTGGTCGCGGCCGACGGCAACCGCGTCATCTTCGCCCCCAACTTCGTCCCACCGCGGCCGTTCGCGGTTTCGAGACGGCCGCTGGTGGTGACGGTCCAGGACCTCACCCTGTACCGCATGCCGTGGGCGATGCAGGAAGAGACCCGCGCGGATCTCGAGCGGAAGCTCGAACGGACGATCGCCCGTGCGCGGGCAATCATCACGCCGTCGGAAACCGTCCGGACCGACCTCGTCGAGCGCGGCGGCGCCGCTCCCGGCGCGGTTCATGCCATCTGGGACGCGGGCCGGCTCGATACGGTGGCGCCCGGCGAGCTGCCGGCCGGGGTGCCGGAACGCTTCGTCCTGCACGTGGGTACGATCGAGCCCCGCAAGAACGTGCCGACCCTGCTGGCCGCGTGGCCCCTCCTCCGGGCCGGGATGCCCGACGCACCGCCGCTCGTGCTGTGCGGGAAGCTGGGCTGGCAGCACGAGTCCATCGAGGGGCCGCTGGCCCGCGCCACCGCCGAAGGCTCTCTGCTGGGCCTGGGCTACGCGCCGGACGAGGCGCTGCGCACGCTCTACGATCGAGCCGCGCTGGTGGTCTGCCCGTCCTTCTACGAAGGCTTCGGGCTGCCGCTGCTGGAGGCGATGGCGGCGGGGACACCGATCGTCTGCAGCGACATTCCGGTGTTCCGGGGAAGTGGCCGCCGACGCGGCGCTCTTCGTCCCCCCCGACGATGCCGCCGCGTGGGCGCGGGCGGTGGCCCAGGTGCTCTCGGACCCGGACCGGGCTCGCGACCTCGAGGCCCGCGGCGCCGCTCGCATTCGCGACTTCAGTTGGCGGCGCACGGCGGAGCGGACGCTGGCCGTCTGGTCCGACGCGGCCGGACCCGCGTGACCTGCGCACCCGGTATGCATACCTGCCGGTGATGGCACGGGCGGAATCGGGTTGCCGCCGTTGGACCTCCTGCTGCTCGCCGGGAGCCGCCAGGCCGAAGCCGCCCTGATGCAGAGGCTGACGAGCTGACCCTCGAGCACGGCTTGGTTGCCGCCTCCTGCTTGATAGTGCCAAAAAACACACATGTGCCGTGGCGCAACCCCGCCTTCCAAGCACCTCCGAGAATCGGCGTTGTCGGAGAGTATGCGCCGACTTATACTGCGGAAGCTGAGGTGGAGGCATCATGCCCAAGTCAAGTCGGCGCGCGTTTCTCGGTAGGCTCGGAACGGCAGCGGTTGTCCCGGCGTTGGGCTCGCTGTCGTCGAGTGCGTTTTCGTTCTCCGCTCCGGCGGTTGCCTCTGCCGAGCAGGGCGCGGCGCCCCGGGCTTCTTACGATCTCCTGATTGCGGGCGGCCGGGTGATCGACCCGGGGCAGAATCTGTCCGCGGTACGCGACGTCGCGATCCTGCACGGTCGGGTCGCCCGAATCGCCGAAAACATCCCGCACACGCAGGCTCGCAGCGTGTTCGACGCCACGGACAAGATCGTCACGCCGGGGTTGATCGACCTGCACTCCCACGTCTACGAGCACGGCACGCCGCTCGGCGTCAACTCGGATCGCGTCGGGAATCGAGGCGGGCGTCACGACGATCGTCGATTGTGGGACCGCCGGGGCAGCGATGTTCCCGGGCTTCCGGAAGTTCGTCATCGAGGGGGCGCGCACGCGGATCTACGCCCTACTGAATATCTCGACGGCCGGCTGCTGCACCGACGAGATCTATCTCGACCCCCGCCTGATCAACATCGACGCCGCCCGCGCGGTCATCGCTGAGCACCGCGACCTGATCCTGGGCCTCAAGGTGCGCGTGCGCGGCCGGCACGAGGATCTGGAGCACGACATCTCGGTCATGACGACGGCGCGGGAGCTCGCCGACGAGATGGGCATCCCGATCATGATGCACTGGTCCATCGAACCGGACCTGCTCGCCATCCTGAAGCGCGGCGACATTCTCACGCATCCCTTCAACCCGGTGTCTCAGAACAACGCCAACGTCTTCGGCAGCGGGACAACCCAGGCCGACCAGGTGCTCCCGCAGATTCTCGAGCTCAAGGATCGCGGCATCTACACCGACGGTCAGCTCGGCACGACGCACCATGCGTGGGAGGTCTCCGAGAAAGCGATGCGCCAGGGTTGGTTCCCCGATGCGATTTCGACCGATGTGGCGCGCAATCCGGACGGGACCCCCGCGAGCGTACTCCTGCCGATGTCGCAGTACCTGCACCTGGGTTTGAGTCTCGATCAGGTAATCGAGTGCGTCACCGCCACGCCCGCGGCGATGCTCAACTATCCCGAGAAGGTCGGGTCGCTGGAGCCCGATTCCCCGGCCGACGTGGCCGTTCTGGATCTGGAGCAGGGGCGTTTCACGTTCGCCGACGGAAGGCGCGACGATGCCCAGACGCGCGAGTTGAGCAGGCTATTCGTGAACGTGGCGACCGTCAAGGGCGGCGTCTTCGTCAAGGGCGGCTAGTGGTGCGTCACGCCCAAATCTTCGGACACGGACATGGGTTTAAGGCCCGCAATCGTTGACGAATCACAGCCCACGCACCCTAACATTCAGTCATGACGCAGCACTAGGAACATCGTCACCGGAGGTTCGTCATTGCGCGCATTCTCGTGCGTTGCCCGGCAGTCGGCATCGCCCTGGTCCTCTCGGGGGCGCTCGCTCCGGAGACGCGGGGGTGACCCGGAGGCAGGCGCCCGGGCGTGGGACGCGACGAGGGGACCCTCCAGCCACCGCCTAACCTAACCCTCCACGGACTGCGGACATTGCGCTAACCGTCACTATCTGCCAAGGAAGATGAGCGCGTGGGCGGGCAATAGCTGTCGGAAATCCTTGTCGAACGTGGCCAGGGACTCCGATTGGTGCAAGACCACTGCTGCTATCCACGCATCGGTAACGAGGTTCCCCGCCAGGTGCCCCTCCATCAGTTTGTTTCGCAGCACGGGCCACTCGTGGCCGGACGGGCAGACTTCAGCACCAGGGGTTTCCAGCAGAGCGTCGACGAACGCTATGGCGTCCTGAACAGGATCGGGATCGATGAACACGCGGTGATTCGTGACGACCCGCAGGAAACCGGCAACCACCATGGGTGGCAGAACAAGCGTGCCGTCTCCTTTCGCGCAGGCGTTTCGGGCGTCGTTGAGCCAAGTTGCTGCAACGACATGGTGTTCATGGTCGGGTCGGAATGCCGCGACCAGCACGTTCACATCCGGAATCACCGGTCCGTCGCATCCAGCAGAGATCGATTGCAGGAGCCATTGATGCCGGGCCGCAAACCACCGCGGCGCGGAGAGACCGGCAACGGGTTCATGGCCCCGCCACGCCGTGGTATCGAACGCAGGCGGAGAACCAGCCCCTCCTCGACCACGGCGGCTAGCGTAGTGCGTTCCCTAGCGGCCTGCGCACGAGCTTGGGCGAGCAACTCGTCACGAATGTCAACTGTCGCCTTCACCATAATCATCGTACCACGCATTTCACCAGGTCTACGCCGTCGCGCAGGGCGTTTTCTCTCCACGGCGGGTACAGCAGCACGGCGGTACCACCGGCCCCTGAACGTCCAGTAAAGTCGCACCAGAAATGGCGGGCTTAATGTGGGGTCTATAACGCCCGTTCGGCTATAAACCTTTTATTTTAAGTAGTTTAAAGGCATAGAATGGCGGAGGGACTGGGATTCGAACCCAGGAGACGTTTTCACGCCTAACGGTTTTCAAGACCGCCGCCTTCAACCACTCGGCCATCCCTCCCCGGGGCGTTGCCGCCTGTTGTCATCCTACCCCGTCCGCCGGCGCCGCGGCGAAGCAGAGCACGCGGGCGAACACGCTCACCGGGGCGTGATGACCTCCAGGCCGCGCATGTACGGGCGCAGCGCTTCGGGCACGACGACCGAGCCGTCGGCCTGCTGATAATTCTCCAGGATCGCGATCAGGGTGCGCCCCACGGCGAGGCCGGATCCGTTGAGGGTGTGGACGAGCTCGGCCCTGCCCTTGCCGTCGGGCCGGTACTTGATGCCGGCCCGGCGCGCCTGAAACGCCTCGGTGTTGCTGCAGGAGGATATCTCCCGGTACTTCCCCTGCCCCGGCAGCCAGACCTCGATGTCGTAGGTCTTGGCCGCCGCGAACCCCATGTCGCGCGTGCAGAGGGCGACCGTCCGGTAGGCCAGGCCGAGACGCTGCAGGACCGCTTCGGCATGGCCGGTCAGCGTCTCCAGCATCGCGTAGGACTCCTCCGGCCGCGTGTAGGCGACGAGCTCGACCTTGTCGAACTGGTGCTGCCGGATCAGTCCGCGCACGTCCGCGCCGTAGGACCCCGCCTCGCTGCGGAAGCAGGGCGTGTACGCGGTGTACAGGAGGGGGAGGTCCCGTCTGTCGAGGAACTCGCCCCGGTGGAGGTTCGCGAGCGGCACCTCCGCGGTGGGAATGAGGTACAGGTCCCAGCCGTCGATCTTGAAGAGGTCGTCCTCGAACTTCGGCAGTTGCCCGGTGCTGACGAGCGCGGTGGGGTTGGCGAGAAACGGCGGCGCCACCTCGACGTAGCCGTGCTCGCCGGTGTGCAGATCGAGCATGAAGTCGATGAGGGCCCGCGACAGCCGGGCGCCGGCCCCGCTGAGCACGGTGAACCGGGTGCCGGCCAGCTTCACGCCGCGCTCGAAGTCGACGATGCCGAGGGCCGGGCCCAGGTCCGCGTGGGACTGCGGGTCGAAATCGAATGCCGGCGGATCGCCATGCCGGCGGACCTCGACGTTGTCCGCCTCGCCGCCGCCGACCGGGACGCTCTCGTGGGCCACATTCGGGAGCTTGAGGAGCAGCGCGCTCCGGGCCTGCTCCACCTCCTCGAGCCGTCCCTCGTGCGTGTCGATGGTCGCGGTGTGGGCCCCGCCCGCCGCCATCAGTGCGTCGACGGGCTCGCCGTCGCGCTTCGCCCTGCCGATCCGGGCGCCGATGGTCTTCTTGGCGTGCCGGGCCTCTTCGAGCAGCGGAATGAGCGCGCGGCGTTCGCCGTCGAGCCGGCGTACCTCCGCGAGGACATCGGCCAGACCGTCGCCGCGGACGGCGAGCTTGGCCTCGACGGCCGCGGGATCTTCACGAAACAACGCTGGATCGAGCATGACGGGACATTGTACCCGTCCGTGCGGAACCGCCCGGAGCGCCGCTACGGGAGCGGCGCCGGCATTCCCCGCAGGAGCGCCCCGCCGTCCTCGGCCCGCTCGGCGCGGGTCCGGCGCGCGCATCGAACGGACCCTCACCCGGTCGACCTCTCGCCGAGCCCGGACCGGGACCATCCTGACGACGGGGTCGAGGCCGGAGGGTGCCGCCGGGACTGCTATCATGCGCCGCGATGACGACCTCCCACGCGATTCGGAAAGTCGTGTTCCCCGCGGCCGGACTCGGGACCCGCATCCTGCCGGCCACCGCGGTGCTCCCCAAGGAGCTGCTGCCAATCGTCGACAAGCCGACATCCAGTACGGCGTCGAGGAGGCGGTCGCGTCCGGTCTGTCGCAGATCGTTCTCGTGAACAGCCCCGGGAAGCGGATACTCGAGGACCATTTCGGCGGGCACGCGGCCCTCGACGCACAGCTCGCCCGGCGCGGGAAATCGGCGCTGCTGGACGGCCTGCGCGAGCTCACCGCCGGCATCGCGCTGTCGACGGTGTTCCAGGACGAGCCGCTGGGACTGGGCCACGCGGTGCTCGTCAGCCGCGAGGCGGTCGGCGACGAGCCGTTCGGGGTCGTGCTGAGCGACGACGTCATCGACGCCGACCCGCCCGCGCTCGCCCAGATGCTGGCGGTGTTCGCACAGGTCGACGGCCCGGTCCTCCTCGTCGAGCGGGTGCCCCGCGAGGCGGTCGGCCGCTACGGCGTCATCGCCGGCAAAGCGCTGGGCAACGGCGTCCACAAGGTCACCGATCTCGTCGAGAAACCCGCCCCCCGAGGACGCGCCGTCAGACCTGGCGATCATCGGGCGGTATCTGCTCACTCCCGACATCTACCCCGCGCTGGAGCAGACGGCCCGAGGTCTGGGCGGCGAGATCCAGTTGACCGACGGGCTGCGGCGTCTCCTCGCGCAACGTCCGATCTTCGCGGTCGAGCTCGACGGGGTGCGCCACGACGCCGGGAACAAGCCGGGCTACCTCCGCGCCATCCTCCATTTCGCGCGGAAACATCCCGAGCTGCGCCGCGAGCTGCCGGGTCTGATGGGCGAGGCGGTCCCGGAGGCGCGCTGCCGGCCGGTGTCGGCTGCCGCCGGCGCGTCAGACTGACACAGGCACGAGCGAGTCGGCCAGCACGCCGCAGACCCGGCGAGGAGCCCGCGCGTCGGCTGACAGAGGTGTGCCGGCTGACGGAAGGCGTCAGGACGAGGAACCGGTGCCGGCGGTCCCCGGTTTGGCGGCCTTCGACGAGGCCTCGGCGGAACCGGACGCGCTCGTCGAATCGCCCGATTTCTTCGCGTCCTGCTTGTCCGATTTCGAAGCCGCACCGTCGGACGTCCCGCCGGCCTTCGACTCGGCGGGGTCGGACGGTCCCTTCCGGTCCTGCTTGGCGTAGTCGGTCACGTACCAGCCGGTGCCCTTGAACTGGATGGCCGGCGAGGACGCCAGCTTGCGCACCGCACCGCCGCACTCGGGGCAGGCCGCCAGCGGCGGATCCGAGAACTTCCGAATCCGCTCGAACCGATGCGCGCAGGCTTCGCACTGGTACTCGTAGAGTGGCATGGGTCACACACCCGAACGCAGGGCGCCTCTCGAACAGGGGGTCCGGCAACGGATACCGACCAACCGTAGGTGGTACCCGGCCGCAGCATCCGGAATCAATCGAGCAGATCGTCGCCGGTGTCGCCGAGGAGCAGCGTCCGGTGCAGCCAGAGCGGGACGGAGCCCTGTCCCAGCAGCCGATCGTGAAACGACTTCGGCGAGAAACGCCGAGCCCTCGCGGGCCTCGAGATCGTCCCGCAACTTCACCAGCATCAACCGGCCGACCGAGTACAGCCCATAGTCGGGATCGAACGTGCCCCGCTCCGCCTCGCGGCGGGCGCTGCCTTCCTCGAGATAGGCCTCTTCGCGGAAGAAACGGACCCCCTGCTCGACCGACAGGTCGTCCGCATGCAGGCGAATGCCGACCACCAGCCGGGCCAGGCGCAGCAACGTCTCGACGATCTGCCCCAGCTCGATCGCATCGTCACCCCGGGCGAGACCGGCGTCCATCACCATGTGCTCGGCATAGTGGGCCCATCCCTCTACGAACGAGACCGGCGCGAACAACTGCGACTTGCGCAGCGCGCTCCGGATGCGCCGCTGGTGGAGGAAGTGCAGGTAGTGGCCCGGATAGGCCTCGTGCGCCGACACCGACCAGAGGGTGGCGAAGTTCAGGTCGCGCAGATGCTGTTCCCGGCGTTCCACCGGCCAGGCCGGATCGACGTCGGTCACGTAGTAGTAGCACGACAGGGCCTTCGGCTCGAACGGCCCGGGGGGCCAGACGCCGGCCTGGGTCCAGCGCAGGAAACCGGGGGTCGACGCCACCACAATCGATCGATCGTCGGGCACCGAGACCAGGGCGTTCCGTTCGATGAACGATACGAGGTCCGTGAGCTGGTCGTGCACCGTCTGCACCAGCGTCCCCGGCTCCGGGTGCCGCGCCTTGATCTGGCGCCAGACATCGGCCGGCTCCGCCCTGGGGTCGATTCGGGCCGCGACCTCGCAGAACCGGCTCTGCTGCCGGACGAGTTCCCGTTCCCCGATCGCCAGCAGCTCCGCGGCTCCCAGGCCGATTCCCTCGCGGTGGCGCAGCCGGCCGTTGAACCGTTCCTGCCCCAATCGAAACGTCGCGCGACTTCGGGGGGCCTGGGTGCCGCGCAGATAGCCAGTGTAGCGGCCGATCGCCTCCGTCGCCTCGGTGGCGGCATCGGCCAGATCGCCGAGCAGGTGCAGGTCTTCGAGCCGTCTGAAGGCCCGCGGGAGATCGCGTTCGATGAACGTGACCACGCCGTCGAACATCTCCGCCCCGGTCTTGATGAAGATGCCCGGCGGGTCTTCCACGTTGGCGGCGGCCGCCTCGAGGAATCGCGGCGTCTGCCGGAGCTTGGACACCACGCGGCGGGCCCGTTCCTCGACCGGCGCATGCTCGAAGAGGGCCTGCCCGGCCAGCGACGTGGACAGCAGATCGGCGTAGTGCCGCGGGTCGCGCTCCCACGGCCGGACTTCCTCGAGCTCGAACAGCCGGCCGCGGATGTGGTCGGCCAGCATGCGCCGCTCGAGCTGCTCCTCGGCCGTCAGGCTGCGGGTGGTGATGCGGTCGAGCCGCCGCGCGAACCCCCCGAGCTCGCGCCCCTGGGCGTCGACGGCCGCGCGGGACAGGTCCTCGAGACGGTCATCGTGAGCATGCATCCCGTCGCCGGACGCAGCACTAGGAGCGTTCTCGTAGAGAAACCCAGATACTCGTCGATAAAGTGCGACAGCGGCTCCGAAGTGTACATGGGTGTCGGCGCGAGCGCTACGTGGCCGGACGCGTGCCGCCTGGCTCAGGCTGGTAAAACGGCGGACCCTTGAATGTTACAATATCGCACGATTCCGTTTAAATCTGCGCTCTGTATCTGGTCGTGACCGGGCGTGCCCGCACGCGACGCGCCCGCAGGGCAGGGCGGCCGGCGGCGGCCTGATCCCTTATCATCCGGACGGCAGTGGAGTGACCAGTCTCGACATCGGGCGGCCCGCGGACTCGGAGCCATCGCCCTACGGCAAGGTGCCGGATGCCAAGCGGCGGCATGGACAACGTTCCCGCAAGCGTCATCGACGGTTCCGGCATGCCCGGCACGCTCTATCTCGTGGCGACGCCCATCGGGAATCTCGAGGACTTCACGTTTCGGGCGGTCCGCATCCTCAAGGAGGTGCGGTTGATCGCCGCCGAGGATACGCGCCGCACCGCCAAGTTGTTGCGGCACTACGGGATCGCGACGCCCGCCACCAGCCTGCACGACCACAACGAGCGCCAGCGGACGCCGGGTCTGGTCAAGCGCCTGCTCGACGGCGATTCGATCGCCCTGCTGTCCGACGCGGGCACCCCGCTGGTCTCGGATCCAGGGTTCAATCTGGTACGTCAATCTCTTGACGCCCGGATTCGCGTCACCGCCCTTCCCGGCCCCTCGGCGGTCACCGCGGCCCTCATCTCCTGCGGCGCTCCGGTCCAGAGCTTCACCTTCCTCGGCTTCCCGCCCCGCCGGCTCAACGACAGAAGACGATGGTGCGACGACCTGGCTCGCGAGCCTCCAACCCTGGTGTTCTTCGAAGCCCCCCATCGGCTCGCCGCCACCCTCGAGCTCCTCGAAGAGCGCCTCGGCGAGCGAACCGTCGCGCTGTGCCGGGAGCTGACCAAGCTGCACGAGAGCACCGTCGTCGGATCGGTGTCGTCGCTGCTCGAGTCGCTCGGGACGCCGCGCGGGGAGTACACCTGCGTCGTCTGGCCCGCCGGCGACGACGGCGACGTTCCCCGGCCCCCGGACGGGCAGGCGCTGATCGACGAGCTCGATCGACTGGCGGACGAGCGCGGTTCACGCCGCGGCGCCGTGAAGACCATGGCCGACCAGTACGGCCTCACCGCCCGGGCGATGTATCGGGCGATCGAAGCGGCCAAGCACGAATAGGCCCGTGTGCTCCGGTTCGATTACACTGGGGGCGCGGTGCCGACTCACGTCATCATCCTTGCCGCCGGCCGCGGCACCCGCATGCGGTCGGCCCGGCCCAAGGTGCTGCACCGCCTCGCCGGCCTGCCCCTGATCGAGCATGTCGTGCGCGCGGCCGACCGCCTGCGGCCGGGGCGCCTGGGTCTCGTGGTCGGCCATCAGGCGGAGCGCGTCGAGGCCGCCCTCTCCCACCGGGCGCCGCTGGCCTTCGCGCGCCAGGACGAGCAGCGCGGCACCGGGCATGCGCTGCAGCAGGCGGAACCTCTCTTCGCGGGGGTGGGAGGCACCCTCGTCGTGCTGTCCGGCGACGTGCCGCTGATTCACCCCGACACCTTGGAGCGGCTCGTCCGCGCCCACGAGGGAGCGAACGCCGCGATGACGGTGCTGACCGCGACCGTGCCCCGCCCATACGGCTACGGGCGCATCGTCCGGGCGGACGGACGTCTCGCCCGCATCGTCGAGGAACGAGACGCCTCGGCGTCACAACGGCGGTTGAAGGAGATCAACAGCGGCATCTACGCCCTCGACCTGCCGCCGCTCTTCGATGCGATCCGGGAGATTCCGCCCGCCGGAGCCTCGAACGAGATCTACCTGCCGGACCTGGTGCGGATCTACCGGGGGCGCGGGCTGCCGGTGGAAACGGCGGAAGTGGCGGATCCGGACGAGGTGCGCGGCATCAACAGCCAGACGGAGCTGGCGGAGGTCAAGCGAATCGTGCGACAGACGAGGAACGAAGAGCTGATGGCGGCCGGCGTCACCATCGAGGACCCGGCGACGACCTACGTCGACATGGACGTCACCGTCGGATCCGACACCGTCATCCACCCCGGCGTCTTCCTGCAGGGACGCACGAGCGTCGGGGCGCGGTGCGAGCTGCACGCCGGGGTGCGCATCGTCGACTCCACGATCGGTGACGACGTGACCGTGCGCAACCACTGCGTCATCCAGGGGGCCACGCTGGCCCACCGCGTCCAGGTGGGGCCGTTCGCCCACCTGCGCCCCGGGGCGGTGATCGGCGAAGCGGCGAAGGTCGGCAACTTCGTGGAGATCAAGGAATCGTCGCTGGGCCAGGGATCGAAGGCGAACCACCTGAGCTATCTCGGCGACGCCACGATCGGCGAGGGGGTCAACGTCGGCGCGGGTACGATCACGTGCAACTACGACGGGAAGCGAAGCACGCGACGACGGTCGGCGACCGGGTGTTCATCGGCAGCGGCACACCAGCTCGTCGCGCGGTGACCCTCGGCGACGACGCCTACGTGGGCGCCGGATCCTGCGTCACCGACGACATTCCCGCCGGAGCGCTGGCGGTGGCCCGCAGCCGGCAGGTCGTCAAGGACGGATGGAACGGCCGGCAGAAGGGCGAAGGGGGCGACGGGTCGACCGACTCTGAACCGCGACATGTGTGGAATCATCGGCTACATCGGGCGCAAGCCGGTCGTGCCGGTCCTCATCGAGGGGCTCCGGCGGCTGGAGTACCGCGGCTACGATTCGGCGGGGGTGGCCTCGTCCGCGGGAACACCGTCGAGCTTCGGCGCAGCGCCGGCAAGCTGGACCGTCTGGTCGAAGCCCTCGAGAACGATCCGGTCGACGGCGACTACGGCCTCGGCCACACGCGGTGGGCGACGCACGGCCGGCCCACCGAGGGGAGAACGCGCACCCCCACCGGGACTGCACCGGGCGCATCGTCGTCGTGCACAACGGCATCATCGAGAACTACCTGGAGCTGAAGCACGCGCTCGAGGCCGAGGGCCACCGGTTCGCGACGGAGACCGACACCGAGGTCGTCGCCCATCTCGTCGAGTGCGAATGGCGCGGGGACGGGCTCGAGGCGGCGGTCCGCCGGGCCCTCGCGCGGATACGCGGGCTGTTCGCGCTGGTGCTGCTGGCGACCGACGATCCGCAGAAGCTGGTGGCGGTTCGCCAGGGTCCGCCGATTCTGGTGGTCGAGAGCGAGGGAGGTTGTCTCGTCGCGTCGGACGTCCCCGCGATTCTCAGCCACAGCCGGGACGTCGTGTTTCTCGGCAACCGCGAGATGGCCGTCATCACCCCCGGCGGCGTGACCTATACCGATTTCACGGGTGCGCCGGTCGCCGCCACCACCCAGCGCATCAACTGGGACCCGGTGATGGCGGAGAAGGCCGGCTACCGGCACTTCATGCTGAAGGAGATCTTCGAGCAGCCGTGGGCGGCCCGCGAAACGGTGCTCGGGCGCACCTCGCTGGAGTCCGGCCAGGTCTTCCTCGGCGAGCTGGACATCCCGATCGAACGGCTCCGGGCCGTCACCCGCGTGGTCATCCTGGCCTGCGGTACGTCCTGGCACGCCGCCCTCGTGGGCAAGTTCCTGATCGAGCGGCTCGCGACGGTGCCGGTGGAGGTGGACTACGGTTCCGAGTACCGGTACCGGGACCCCATCGTGACGCCGACGACGCTCACGGTGGTCATCACGCAGTCCGGCGAGACCGCCGATACGCTCGCCGCGCTTCGCGAGGCCCGCGACCGCGGCGCCGCGACCATCGCCATCTGCAACGTCGTCGGCAGCATGGCCACCCGCGAGGCCGATTTCACCGTCTACACCCACGCCGGACCGGAGATCGGGGTCGCGTCGACCAAGGCGTTCACCTCGCAGCTCGTGGCCCTGCATCTGCTGGCCCTCTATCTGGCCCAGATCCGCGAGACGCTTCCGGCGGAGGCCGCGCGCCGGCACCTGGAAGACCTGAACCACCTGCCGCGCTGGCTCGAGCAGACCCTGCAATGCGAGGACGCCGTGAAGTCGGTGGCGCAACGGTTCCACCAGCACCGGAGCTTCCTGTATCTCGGGCGCGGCATCAACTATCCGATCGCCCTGGAGGGCGCGCTGAAGCTCAAGGAAATCTCCTACATCCACGCCGAGGGATACCCGGCGGGCGAGATGAAGCACGGCCCGATCGCCCTCGTCGACGAGCAGATGCCGGTCGTGACCCTGCTCCCGGACGGCTCCGTCTTCGAGAAGATGGCGTCCAACCTGCAGCAGGTCAAGGCGCGCGGCGGCCCGATCATCGCGGTGGCCGACGACCGCCCGCGGGACCTCGGGGCCTTGATAGATTCGAGTCTGGACGCACTCGTCACCCGTACCGGCGACACCCCCGCTGATCACGCCGATCGTCATGGTGATTCCGCTTCAACTGCTGGCGTACCACATCGCCGTCCGTCGCGGCTGCGACGTCGACCAGCCGCGCAATCTCGCCAAGAGCGTGACGGTGGAGTGACCCGGGCGGCTGCCGTCGCGCGAATCCTGTAGCATTCTGATGCCTGCCCCTCTCGAAGCTCACCCTCGATCCATGGAATTCCTCTCCCAGCTGAACCCCGAGCAGAGACAGGCGGTGCTGCACACGGACGGACCGCTCCTGATTCTGGCGGGGGCCGGATCCGGGAAGACCCGGGTCATCGCGTCTCGCGCCGCCTACCTGATCGCCGAGGGCCATGCCGAGCCGGACCGGCTTCTCGCCGTCACCTTCACGAACAAGGCGGCGGAGGAGATGCGGGGGCGGGTGGAGCGGCTGGTGGACACCGGGGACCGCCGCCTGTGGATCTCCACGTTCCACGCCCTCTGCGCGCGGGTGCTGCGCCGGGAGGGCGGAGTCGGGCTCACCCGCGATTTCGTGATCTACGACTCGTCCGATCAGTTGGCGGTGGTGCGTCAGATCCTCCGCGACCTCAATATCGACGACAAGCTGCTGCCGCCCCGGCAGGCTCTCAGCGCCATCAGCCGCGCGAAGAACCAGATGCTGTGCCGCCCGGGGAGCTGCAGCAGGAGAGCTGGAGCGCGCGGGGCGAGCTGGTCGTCAAGGTGTACGAGGGGTACCGGCGCGCCCTCGGCCGCGCCAACGCCCTCGACTTCGACGACCTCCTGCTGCGGACGAAGGAGCTGCTCGAAACCGCCGCGCCGGTCCGGCGCCGCTACGCGGAGCGCTTCCGGTTCGTCATGGTGGACGAGTATCAGGACACCAACGCGCCGCAGTACCGTCTCATCCGGCTCTGACCGACGAGCACCGCAACCTGTGCGTCGTGGGCGATCCCGACCAGTCGATCTACAAGTGGCGCGGCGCGGACCTGCGCAACATCCTGGACTTCGAGCGGGATTCCCGATGCCACGGTCGTCCGTCTCGAACGGAACTACCGCTCGACCCAGGTCATTCTCGACGCGGCCGGCGCGGTCATCCGGCAGAACCGGAACCGCCCGGAGAAGCGGCTGTGGATCACGAACGGGTCACCCAGGAGGCGCCACTCGTCCGTTGCTCCGGGCCAGGACGACATCGAGGAGGCCGACTTCGTCACCGCGCGTCTCCGCGAGGCGCTGGCCGGGAGAGAGACCCCGATCGGCGTGCTGTCACAGGAGCGAACGCCCAGTCCGGGCGGTCTCGACGGACGCGCCTGATTCGCTGAGGAGGGTCGCCTACAAGATCGTCGGCAGCGTCAGATTCTACGAGCGCAAGGAAAACCCAAGGCCGCGCTGGCATATCTCCGGCTGTGCTAACCACCATCCTGCTCAGATCACTTAGATCAGCCACCCACTCGAATCCTTAAGCCCCTTTATTCCCTATCTGCCGCCGCAATACCGATTCTTCCCATTGACGAATGACGACGTGAGCCTGAAGCGGGTGAGTCAAACAAACCAGGCCCAAGGGGAATCAGGCAAGGCGTGAGGATCGCTCGAGTGGAGCATGGGGCCTAGGGAACGCACCGCGACGCGGGACCCTCTTCGCGCAGGCCGAGACCGGTACGGTCGAGCAAACTCGCTCTGGCGGCGTGGGGCGTCCGCGTGAGGCGGGAGCTGGGCGGCGCAGCGCGGTTGACGCAAGCAGCAGTTGAATGCGGGTGGACGACGCTGGGCATGCCCGGTGCTTCACCGTCATGCGGCGGTCCGGGGACCTGATCGGCACCTTCGCGATCTCAGCGCCCGCAGAGCCGGTCTCGACGTCATCGCAAGATGCCGATCTCGACCGCCAGGCGGCTATCTGCGAGACCTCCGTGACCAGCACACGGAGGAGGCCGACGGGCGTCTCGAGAACCTGATGGAGCTCGTCTCGGCGGCGCGCGACTACGAGATCCGCGATCCGGAAGCGTCCCTGAACGGCTTCGTCGATCGGCTGTCCCTGCTGTCGGAAGGGAAACCATGAGGAGGAAAAGGGATCCGAGGACGCCGGCATCTGGCTCATGACCCTGCACGCGGCGAAGGGGCTCGAATTTCCGGTCGTGTTCATCGTCCGCTCGAAGAGGGGCATGCTTTCCCACATGCGGTGGTCACGCGATGACGCCGAGGCGCTCGAGGAAGAGCGCCGGCTGGGCTATGTTGGGGATGCCCGACGAGCCCTGGTCGCGGCTCGTGCTGACAGCGCCCGCCCACGGCGAACAGCGTCTTCGGCGAAGATACCAGCGTCTGAACCTCGCGGCTTACTTCCTCAGCGAGCTTACCGACGAGTTGCTGCGACCCGGTCGAGCCGGTCTTCTCGACGCCGGTGCAGCCACCAGACGACGTCGGCCGGACATTCTCGCGGGCGGCGGCGCGAGGGCGGCCGGCGGCGAGCAGATCCAGCCGGACTACGGCTACGCGTACGAAGACGAGGACCAGTCGGTGATCAGCGTCACGCGGGCCGCGCGCGACGGCATCCGCCGTTCGGCTGCGGCACCACATCTGTCGGTGGAACCGCTGACCGACGACATGAAGCTGACGGTCAGCTTCAGCGACATCGGGCGCAAGACGCTCCGCGCCAGGTTCGCGAAGCTCACGCGGGCATGACGACGCCGCGAGCTGCGCGCGCGGATTGCCGCGCCCGCCCGGCGGGGGCGGACAAAACTCGAACCGGGGTCGTGTGCCTGCGACGCAGCCGCACAGAGGGCTCGGATGACAGCGCGGTGAAACCCGCGTTGCACGAAGACCGGACGAGGGCGGAGCAAGGACGGACAAAGAGCGGACGAGGGGACGCAGAGGGGTGGTACTGAGGGGAAAGAGAACAACGACAGCTAAGAAGCAGGCAGGAAAGAACAGGGAGAAGGCTAGAAGAGGGGAGGGGAGAGGAGAACGAAGGGAGAAGGGTCATGGCAGCTCCTAGGGGAGGGGGCCCGGCCCTAGATGTTGGCAGGCGGCATTGTCCGCCCGATTTTTTTTTTTGCCGGTGCCCTCCACTCCCTCGCCATTGCTCCGTTCCAGTCAGACGATCATCGAACCCGGACATTGCAGGATTTCCCGAATCGGCTCTCGGACGAGATTCAGGCATTCGCCCACGGAAAGATCGTCGTGCGCGGTTTGAAAGGCGCAGTGAGCCCGTAACGGACCAAGAGCGAATGCCGGCGGAAGCTACTTCTTGCCGGTCCGCCACACGTGATTCCGACAGAGCCAATGGCGCAGACGCCGCGTAGCGTGACGGTCGACGCGCGTTAGGCCGGGCTGACATCTGCCCAGATGTGAAGTAGTTACGCCCAACGGTTCAAGAGCCGGTTCAGGCGCGCCAACACGACATAGGCGAGACAGGGAGACCGCGGCGCAGCGTAGTCAGTCGCTCATGCGTCGGCAGATGCTCTGGACGATGCGGGCTCGGGTCGTCGCGTTGCGATTGAGGCAGCTCCGTGTCCAGACGGTAGTTGCGTCCAATCCGGTAGCCAGGAACGTCATCGGTTCCTCCGGGGCACCCGGCCGCAGGGGGTTTCTCGGCGTTAACGGCAGCTTCAGGACAGCTTCATAAGAGCTTCGACCGCCGTCAGGGCGAATCCGGCGGGAAGGTTGAACGCCGGATCCGCGGAAGTTGACCGGAATTTGAACACCGGATCCGGGGATGTTGAACCACGGGATATCCGGTGAAGTTGACACACGAATCCGGTCATCGTGAACGCTCGTCGGTTATAGCCTGATCTCGCCGCATCGCTGGCCATTTCGAAAGAGCGTTGCGAGTGCGATGCCGGCACGGAAGGCTACTGGTGAGGAAGATTCGTTAGGTTCTCGTCTCAAGCACGAGCGGGGTTTGTCAACAGGGACGATAGCCCAAGCCTGCGCGATCGGCGTGGGCACGGTCTCGCTGTTATCTGCATCGGACCACACAACGAGGGTTGGGTTGGCCACTGCCGGCGAGTTTGGTATGAGCGCGGCAATACACGCGAGCCGCGTGTTTTTCCACCGCGCCCGAAACGCGTCGCAACGACCGGAGTCGAGCATGACTGCGCGTACCATCCACGGCGGCTCAGTCGCGACGGCGGCACGCTGCAGCTCCTCTGGGAGGATTACGGTACGCCCAGGTCCATCCGCACGCTACCGTCGTTACCGCCCACCAGTTTCTGCGAGCCTACCGCCAGTGCGCGCGAGCGAGCTGCGCTGCCGTATCGATGCGGACGAGGTCCAGGTTCACCGCCGGCGAGAAGACGTTCATCGACTTGCGCGGAAGCGACCGAGGAAACGTCCGGCGCTGCCGACCGGCCACACGGGAAGACTGCCGACGCGTCGAGCTGTTCGTCGCCGGCGCGCGCCAGCGGCTTCATCCCCTACGAAGCACCGAGGCGGAACCGCCACCGCAGCGCTTGCCCGACTGGGTCAGGCCGCCCACAACCCGCTGGTCGAGTACTTCGGGGCACGACGCCTCATGTGGGTCCCCGACCAGCTCAAGAGCGCCATCCCCTCACGCACTGCCTGCGCGCTACAGGCCCAGGGCGTCAATCGCACCTTCGAGGACCTCGCCAGCCCACTGACAGCGCCGTCGTCGTCCCGCGCGGACGAGGCAAGGCGAAAGCGAAACCAACAGATCATACGCCGCCGTGGAGGCGCAGTAACTCCTGGCCCAGCGTGGATACTCGCCGCTCCGCGACACGTGGAGACGTTCTTCAGCCTCGGTGCCTCTGAAACCTGGCGATCGCGTCAGGGCGCCTCGACGCGCTCACGACCGGCCGAGCGATGAAGAAGCTGGCAGCAGCGCCGCGCCCATCTACGAGCAGCTCGACACGCCACGGCGCTACGACCCTGCCGGCCACCACGCGCTATGTCTCGCGTACTGGAAGCTGTTGCCGCGTCTCCATCGCCTACCCACGTCCTCGGCGAGCGGGCACGCCGACAGCGTTGCCGTTCCAGCGCCCCGCGAGTCAGGGCCGAGGTCCGCTACAACCACCACTACCACCGTCGAGGCTCATCTTCAAAGGCGCCGACGTGTCGTCGCACCCCGCCGCTACGACGGACAGCCGTCCACCGTCGCCGAGCACATGACCGA